ACCGCCCCCCCCGCGCCCCCCCCCCAGCCACTCTGCCCAAGGCATCCCCAAGTCAGTTTCAGCAGCGGCTGAATCGAGGAAGCCAGGGGTGGAGCAACTCCAATGGTCCGGCTGCCCGGAGCACTTCTGGGTTCCAGATGGTGCCGGACCATCAGGAGTGCCGGACCATCAGATGCCGGACCAATGGAGTTTTACTGTATTTGCATCGTCCAATCCGATTAAAGAACAAAAAGTAAATTGTGTGTATTTGGAAAGTGGAAAGCAAACTCCTTTTTTTAATTATTTTTTTTAAATAAGGTGGTAGTTGCAAGAAAACTTTTTTAAAATTATTATTTTGAAAATAAAATTTTAATCTTTGTCTTATTTCAAATGTGTGTCAGTGACTTCTTGAAGATAGTCGAAGCTCAGTGAACAGACATTATTTTGCATGCAAGATTTAAATGTATCTTCCTTTTTGGAGGTACCAGATTTGCAATGTAAATCTCAGTCTACATTGAATCATTTTAACCCAAGAATGCCTTAATTTTGCAACATAGATGGTTGATTTGGCAGGTTGCTACAAGTCTGAGGATCACAACAAACATGTAGGAATATATACTACTTTTAAGTGGGGGTGGGTAGGCGGGAAACCTAGGTCTGTGGTCACCAACCCGTCGATTGCGATCAACTGATCGATCCTGGGGGCCCGACAAGTCGATTGCTAGGCTTTCGGGGGGCCCCCCCTCACTGCCCCTCACCTTCAAGATGAACGTCGTGATGATGCTACCTCCAAGGACAATGGAGGTAGCGTGGGTTTCCAGGGGGTGGGGAGTTCTGAACCAGGTCCTGGAAGTGCACGGACTGCTCTTCCTCTCCCCCCACTGCATTCTTCACCCAACAGCTGGCGCGGTACCTAAAATGCTGGACCGTTGCATGCTGGGGGCTTTGTTCCCCTGCTGACTTCCTGTGCCCTGGGAAGGGGGTGGGGGTCCAGGACTGTGCCAGCTCCACCTGCTCCGGCAGTGCATGCTGCCATGGGGAGTGGAGGAGCAAGGCATGCGCTGCCCAAGCAGTTGAGGCTGGCGCGGTCTGGGACTCCTCCCCTCCGCCCCATGCGGAAAGGCAGCAGGCACATGATGAACCAGCGTTTAAGTTACCACGCAGCTGTTTGAGGGACGGGGGAGCAGCCCACGCATTTCCTGGGCCTTGGCGTGCAGCTGCAGGATCCCCAGATACCAGTCCTTGTCCCCTCTCCCTGCCCAGACCCCCACAAGTACCCTGCCCCAGACCGCTGCCCTGGCACCCATTGGCACCCTGTCTGCCCCAGCACCCACAAGAACTCTGTCCCATGCCCCAGCACAGTTGGGGCCACATTAGTGAGGCTTGAGGGGTTGTGTTTTTGTATCTCATTTGTGTGGCCCAGACGGACTTTTCTGTGGGTCAGCGATCCCCTGACTCAAAACATGTTCTCCTCCCCTCTCATAAAGACAATGCTGAAATCTTTTGTGCTTGAAGTAATATTTTATTTAAAAATGAAGCCTGGCCAACAAGCCCCCAAATGGGGCCAAGCCCTCATCCAGTCATAACATTCCTGTACCCCCCCACCCGGACCCCAAATCTGAACCTACCATATAGTGGAACCCCTTGTCTTGAGCCTCTCACATCCCCAAACTCCTGCACCACATCCTCAGTCTTCTGCCACAACAGACTTGCACCATTCATACACTGCAAATCTGTGTCCTGAGCCCATCATACTCCCCACCTCCCTGCCCTGAGCCCCTCACACAACCCAACCCAAACTCCTGCACCCTCACATCCACAAGCCTGTGGTGTGCTCAGCACCCCCACCCTCCACCTGAGCCCAACACTCCCCAGCCTGGACCCCCCCTCTCTGAGCCAGCATCTCCTTCTCCACATCCTCCTGCATCCACATTCCCTCCCAGAGCTTGCACCTCTCACCCCTTCCCACACCTAAATCCCTCATTCCCATCCCAGATCCTGCACCTCCTGTCTGAACACAGTGAGGCTTGACTGAAGGAGTATTTCTGGCAAACACGCTCTTTTGGCAGCCCCTGTATTCCTTGTTCCACAAGGAATGAGGGGGCTTCCAAAAGAAGGAGGTTTTCCGACATTTGGCCCAGTCTAGACCGGCGAAATGTGGGGACCAAAAGAAGGAGGTTTTCTGACATTTGGCCCGGTCTAGACCGGCGAAATGTGGGGAAAAAATTCTTCCAACAGAAGGATTGAATAAAAGCAGCAGTGTAGCTGTACCCTGAGAGTGAATAAGGGCCGGGGATAGCAAGTGAAGGAGCAAAGGGGAACAAAGAGGGCTGGGTCTTAAGGAAGGGGTGGGGTCTTGGGGAAGGGATGGAGTAGATCTTGGCTTGTCCTGACATTTTAAAAGTGATCTTGGGTGTAAAAAGGTTGGAGATCACTGCCCTAGGTGCTCAGCTGGCTTGGCTAGGTGACTAGAAAGTGTGCGTGCGTGCACATTTGGGTGAGTATAAATATAGATTTTTCTGAGTTCATCAGAAACAAAAACAGAACCATCCTGGCAGACATGTTTTATCTCCCTCCAGTTAAAGGTTATTAAGGCACATACTGCAGTCAGCTTTATTTTGAACCACTTTTGCTATTTGAAGAGTGACCAGTGGACAGACTAATAGGTTTCAACATAAGAGAATAAACTGACTTTTGTTTTCTTACTACTTCATAGGCAGTGGTCGTTACGTTCCTGGCTCTTCATCTGAGTCTAATGCTGTACTTGCACCAGATCCATTTACAGGTATTACGTAACTTAATTTTTGGTGCGATTCCTCTGACAGGCATCAAAAGGTGGGTTTTATCATTTTCTAGCCCAAACAGTAGCCAACAGAGAGCATTAAATTTCCACCCATCTCTTCATTTTGGGGACCACAGTGTTGATCAGATTGACTTGTCTTGACTCAGAATGACCAGACTGAATCCTTTGCTTTGATAATCCACTGTGAGAAGTGATGAAGTTCCCTTCTCCATCTCTCAAACAGTGAGCTTGTCCTCTACAGTGTATTTCCATTCCAGTTGCAGAGGAAACAATGTGATTAACCCTCATACTTGCTAAACTTTTTTGCTAAGCCACTTAGCTGGAGAAAGGATAAGTTTTTTTTCAATGAAATTTAACAAGATAGTCTATTCTTACTATTGTTTTATTTGAACAAAAACTCTTAAATGTAAGAGTAACACTCAAATTAGCAGGATTGTGACCACAACTGTTGGTGAGGGAATAAGACAATCGCTTGGCACTTGAGAGAGGTTAGTTTGGCTTGTATTTAACTTGTTTTGTTCTAGAAGAAATGGGACATAGCCAACGTATCATAGTGTAGCACAAGGGTCAGCAATCTATGACACTTATGGCATGTGAACAGATTTTCAGCGGCACGTGAGAGGTAGTTCAGCCCCAGTCCTCCTCCCCCATGCAACCACTGGAGAGCCCTCTCCCCTCCTTGTAGCAGGATAGGCTGTGGTGGGAGGAGGCAGCGCTGGGGATGAGGCTCCTCAGCAGTGCCTCAGATGACCCCACGTGGTCAGGGGCCAGCCCCAGAGCCTGGAGGTGCCATTGCCCCGGCAGTTGCTGCAAGGGTATACGAAGGCAGGTAAGTGTCCCCTCTCGTGCCCAGACCCCAACACCCAAATCCCCCTCACTTTCCTCCCTCCCACCAAGACCCCGCACTCTCAGCTTGCTCTGACACCCTCCCTTGTTCCTGCATTTTCCCTTTTGGCCAGACACCCTACCCCCATCCTGTTCCTACACCCTCCCCCTCTGGCCTGGCCAGACAAACGTACCGCCACGCTACTCCTGCATCCATTATTGCTCCTGCACCCTCTCTCCTGGCCACACACTGCACCCTTCTTTGCTCCTGCTCCCTCCAACTGGCCCAGACACCCTGCTTCTGCACCCTACTTCCCACCCAGACCTCATAACTTCTCCCTTTTCTGTACACCACCTCCTTCCCAGATCCTGCACCGCCTCACTATCCTGCATGCTGGCAGCCCTTTCTCACACACTGACCCCCTCATTTTTGTCCCTTCCCCAGAGCCTAAAGGGTCCATAAAATCCATTAACCCTGGCACCCCAGAAAAGTAAATCTGGCCTATGGAAAATCCTGAACCGCAGTCCTCTGTCCCTTCCCCTCACTCTGTGAGGCTAGAGCACCAGAGGGGTGAGGTGTCTCAATTGGGGCCACACAAGTGAGGGTTGGGATTTTTTGAAGTTTTTTTGCTTTTCACTTGTGTGGTCCCCAACTGATTTTATTTTTTTTCTGTGGGTCAGTGACCCTCACCCATAAAAAGTTCCCCACCCATGCCATAAATAAACATTTGAAATCTTTTGTGTTGGACATATTTTACTTTATTTAAAATGAAATTTGATAAATTAACATGAGAGAGTTAAAATGCTTAATCTGTTAAATCATTTAAAATAAACTGTTCTCCCTAGTTGCAGCTGGTTCTGAGAAAATGGTCGCCATACCCAGCCTGCCCCTACCCTGCTCCTCGTTTTGCCATCACACACTGATTTGTGAATAACTTAAACCTTGGCATGCCACTTCTGAAAGGTTGCTGACCCCTGGTGTAGCATAACCCTCAGACTGGGTGTAATGCTGAGGAAAAATTGTCTCATTTAAAAATAACATTTTAACTTTGAGGGCTATATAGATATTGTGATTGTTGTGATACACTTTCATCAATACCAAAAAACCCTAGTTATCGTTTTACTTGATTTGCTGCAGTACAAATTAATTCAATCCCTCAATTGTTGTGTTTTAGGCGCTGGTCGCTATGTCCCTGGTTCTGCATCAAATGTGGTAGCTCCTTTAAGTGGAATTGATCCATTTACTGGTAAGGGCTTCATCTCACAAATAAACATTAATTAATCTTTCTTTTCAGTTTCTGTTTTAATTCTGGAAGAGTCTAATTGTGATGAGATTTTTATGTTAAGTTCAATTATTTTCAAAGCTGTAGTAAAAGAAAGTTTCCTGTTCACTGGCTGTGCTCTGGTGGGAATTGTACAGTAAAATATAAAAATATGTAGTGTTAATCTGTCCCTTAACCTCACATTCCTTTGATTCTAATGGTATGTTAAATAGTTTTCAGCTCAGACAAATGGTATCGGTGGTACAAGCCAGAGAAATGAGTATAGCCCAATTTAAATAGCTAAGTGAATTCTGCTAATATAATTTTAGCAAATCAAAGATAATAGATAAAATCTGATAATTCATTGCTAAAGTAGAGGAAATTGAGAGATTTCTTTGGAGAGACAAACTTTCATTCCATATAATGTAGGTGTTTAAGGATAGCCACTAGAGATTTTAATGTGTACCTGAGTACATGGTTAACCGATGAGCCTGGGCTCATTGGTTAATATTTTTGGTTACATGCAGTCTCTCCCCTCTCCCCTGCACTGCTTCCATAGCAGAGATAGCGAGGGGAGAGGTGGAGATAGGTGCTGGTGCACATGGGGAACTGGCTTTTAAGTAGACTCACTGAGCTGCCTGCACCCTCTTCTCTCTTCCCCCTGTACTGCCGCCTCCCACAGAAGCAGCAGCGCAGGGCGGGGTGCGTGGGCAGGCAGGTGGGAGGTAGTGCTCATAGGCGTGCCTGGCCCTGCACTGCTGCCTCTGATATTGAGCCATTGGGGGAAGAGGGGTCGTTGCTGGCAGGGAGCTGGCACTGACTCAGCTTTTCCCCTCTCTCCCCTCCCCCTCTGACGTGTACACTGTGTAATCACTGAAAAATTCAGCAGTTACACAAATACACACATTTTAATATCCCTAATAGCCACTGATACATGCAGACCGCCTAATCATTTGCATATTTATTGTGAAAATGACACAATGAAGATAAAGGTTTTTTTGTGGATTTAAATTTGTAATGGCCATACTTGTCTCACATGTGATATCTGCTCTCCAGAAAAAACATCTTCAATTCTAATATTATTTTGGGGAAGGTCTGTGACTTTTCTTACATAGGAAGTTGAACTAGATGGTCACAATAGTCCCTTGGAATCTTTAAATCTATGAAACAATTGTGAACTGAATAATATGTGTGTGGATTGTACTGAAATCTTAGTTATGTACTTGCTACTGTGTAGGAAAGGATTTTCTAAAAATTAATTATGAATGACTTATTTGTAATTATGCTTTTTGGTTTTGCAACTATTGTAAGCACTAATGGTATAATTAGTGGCAAATTGCAGGAGCAACAGGAATAGAAAATATATAGCCAGTGATTTTCATTTTCTGAAAGGAAGTTACTATTTGTTATCAAACACTATTCTCTGTTGAATTTCTAATACCTCTACCTTGTGTAGGAAGAAGTGCTTATCAATCAAACAATGCTAAAGCTGAAAATATTTATTTTCCAAAGAAGGAAGCTGTCACTTTTGACCAGGCTAACCCCTCGCAAATATTGGGTGAGTTGTTTGTTTTAATTCCTGAACCTAATTTTGGAAAATGTAGTTAACCACACCCTCAATGCGTCCAAGAAGCTACATTAGTTTTATCGTCTCTCCAACCATCTAGTCCTTCACAAATTATATTTTTCAATCCCAACTCCAGGGAGATTTACAATATAGAAGGGTATTTTTCACAATCCAAGTCGTTGGGGATTGGTAGTGCAGACTATTTCAAAATGAATTAATTTTTCTTTATATAAAACTAGAAGACATACCTGTTGTTGCTCAGATCCTTCAGGAGTGGGGGTATAGAAGTCAAGGCAAGGGCTTGGGGATATAGGAGCTCAGGGCAGGGGGCTGAGGGTGTGTGTGGGGGAGGTTGCAGATGTCAGAGTTTGGGTTAAGGAGGAGCTCATGGCAGGGGATTGGGGTGCAGGAGTCCGGACAGGGGGGCTTAAGTAGCTTCATATGATCATAAAGAACTTATGAAAATATATGATCACTCCAAGCCCAGTCTGTTGCTAGAGAATAGAGAAAACATTCTGTAATTCTCTAAGCTGCTGGTTGCTTAAGGATAGTGGTGGTCTCCGCTATTCACATGCCTTTATTTGTGGGAAGTTTTCATCAGTAAATAGCTTTATTCCTGCCTTTGCTGTTACCCCTAAATTCTCCCTGTATGATGGAGAACAAAATTGGCTAATTTTTACTGGCTTAATTGCTAACTATAGGATTTCCAGTAGCTGTGCAAACTGAAATTTGCGAACAACGGGGCTAGAATTTTTTTTAAATGAAAGCATAGATCTGCAAACATTGATGTCGCCAAGTAAAGTTTTTCCTACTAGCCCTATGTGAGTGAAATGTTCAAATGGTAAGTTAGTGGAACTTGGGGGCTAGAGCTTCCAGCTACAAATATAATTTAGGGTTTTTTTTCAAGATAGATGCTGAGCCAGTCCTTCTAGGACTTCTGTTGGTTATCCGGTACAAATTGGACAGAGGGTAGCAGTATTTGAAGTGTTACTCTTGTGCCTTTCTATAGAACTGGAATTTGTGGAAGGCATATGTGCCTGACCTTACCCTGGATCAACTTTGTGGCAAGTTGTAAAATTTTGGAATACATTATAAATACTTTGCCCTTTAAATTAGCGTTGTTGAAATTCGTTTCAAAGACTTTTTGAATCACAAGGTACATGTGTCATGGCACTTAACAAGTAAGTATGCTTATTAAGATTTCAGTAATTTCAGAGTATGTCTTGACTCAGTTTAATTTTGAATTATCCAGCCTTCCCATACCTAAGCTACCCTGATAATCAAAAGGTAAGGGGGAGGGGGGAAGAATACAGCTATGTAAATTGTGATGGGGTACAGCCATAGAAGACATTTTGGGATTGTTCCCCTATGTGCTGATCATTCCACTGACAGCGCATTCTTTTTGCGCTCTGAAGCTCCCCATCACCCTGTCCTGCTGGGCCAGATCCTCTTATCTTCCTGAGTCAGGGAACAGAGTTGAGGTTTCCCACCTCTGAAGAGCAATGCAGACACTGAGCCACTTCAGTTCTGGAAGGATGCATTTCTAGAGCACAGCACCCAGGAAACTAACTCGCAGAAGGGATCAAAACACCAAATAAATCCGTCTTTCTCTATGTAAAAGTTTTGGACAGGGAAAGCTCATGAGGATGTTCACTCTCTTTATGAATGAAAGAGAGAGAGAGAAGCACACTGGCTGTCCCTCCCCCTCTCCTCTCAGGTAACAGTGTAAATAAGTAAATGTTTTGTATTAAGTAGGATTTAAGTGGTTACAAGTGAAAACAAGCATATCAAAATAAGTTACTAAATTAAAAGAGTAAGCATAGCTAGTTCTAATTCACTAAAAAACATATTGTAAGCAGATTCTTACCCTAAAGAGCTGTTTTTATTTTGGGCATAAATCTTCAGGTCAGACACTCTTTTACCATAACACCCGTAGCAGAAAATATCTTTAAGTATTTTAGGTGATGAAAATCTACTGGTACTTGTTTTTTGGTTGCACAGGTAAACTAAAGGAACTTAATGGAGATGCACCTGAAGAGCAAAAGCTAACTGAGGATGATTTTATAATCCTAGAGAAGATACTCTTCATAACCTGTAATACCACTGTAGAAACACCTACAGCACAACAACTTCTAACTTTGTGGAAAGCAATTAACTGGCCAGAAGGTATGAAATAAACACATTATATGAATGGGCAGGAGATATTTGGGAAGCTTTTTTTTTATCTCTTCCTTTGAGTTGTACCTCAACAATTTATCTATCTCTTCCTTTGAGTTGTACCTCAACAATGTATCTTTTTCCCCTTTTCCCCTATCATCCATAACTTAAGTTGAGAAAGGGAAGTAATTGACTTGGCATTGTAGTGCCTTACTTTCTTCATAGTTATTTCACTTATAAAAGCATATCATTCTGCCATTTCTTAAACCAAGATGTTCAAAAGCTATTCTGTAAACCTCCAAAGCTGCATGGAATGCAGCTTCTCAGGAGCTCATTGGACTAAGCTGAAATAGTGGCCCAAATGAAAGTGTTAGGTGTACCAGTATTTGAGTTTTGAAGTATTGCAATTGTATTTTGTCTGCAGTTAGGAAATGTGGCTCTGTAGGCAGGTTGAGATTTATAGCCTGTGGGAGTCATTGAGTGCACAGTGTTTAGTACACTCAGAAGAAACTGAATTTAAAATTAACCATATATCAAGCTGCAGTTTTATGTAGAAAACTAATTTTAAACAAAACACATTTAAGAAATTTTAATATGAATGTTTTACCTAATGTAAAAAAGTCTAATATTTCTGAAACGTAGCAGTTAACCAAACAATGGCCTACAGAGAGATGTGAGAAATCAGTACTTTTATATTCCAAAGAGCCTGGATGCCATAAAAACCACTGCCTGTGAGGAGGAGGAGAAGTCCAGCTGAAAAGTTCTGCTGCTAATAAGGAAAAGAGCAGCATCTATTAATGGAAATACTGTCCAGGGAAAGATGGAAGTGGGCAGCAAGGTGCTAAGAAGTCTAGGTAGCTAGACATCTTGTTCAGGAGAGTGTGGATGCAGGAAAGTGTCTGAGGGAAAGGAGATTTGAGAACAGGGAGATTTCTACATGAGAAACAAAGGAACAGAATAGATAGACTGAGGATATTTACTATGGAGATCCGTAGCTGACATCACAGTTAGGTTGGCACAGTTCATTTTACTATGGAGATCCGTAGCTGACATCACAGTTAAATGAACTGTGCCAACCTAAGTCATATTTCTGCCTGAAATCTTTCACCAACTGTTGAATCATTGCAAGTAACACTAAAGATTACCCTAACAGCATACGAGGGGAGAAAATCTCTTGCATGTTTGCCCGTGATTTATGTAATGTCTTTTTCCTTTGTTTGTATGTCTTCTGAGTTTAAGTGGTTCTATAGCAGGGATGGGTAATAATTTTTGAAGGGGGGGGCCACTTCTGGAATTTCAGAAGTGGTTGCGGGATGCCTCAGAAGAAGTGTGTTCTCAGGCAGAAGGGTGGGGCCTTGGGTGGAAGGTCCAGGAGACCCTGATTGGCTGGGGGTGTAGAAACATGTGAAGTCTTTGCCCTTGCCCTGCCAGGGACACACCTGGCACTCTAGATGCTGCACGCCCCTGGTGATATGAGGAGACGTCCCATGTTCCCTCAGCCCCTAGGCCTATCAGGGGGGTAACTTCCCCTGCCAAGAAAGAAAGAAAGAGGAAAAAGTGCAGCATTGGGAGAGGGACTGAAGGGAGGCTATCCCCTTAGTTTGGGAGGCACCTCACCTCCTGTCCCCATGCTGCTCCTCCCAGCCACTGGGAAGGGGTGGGGGAGCGTACATAGTCTCTGGCTCCCCTGCCCTGGGTGCACAGTTCTCTCTGGTGCCCCACGCCCCTGGTGGGGGGAGGAAACTTGGCGCATTCCCCCCGCCCACAGGCCAATCAGGACCTGGGGGCAGAGGAGCGCACAAAATCTCTCGCTCCCCGCCTTGCCCTGCCAGGGGCATGCAGTTTCCCTCCTAGCAGGATGAGTAGCGAGAGACTTTGTGTGCTCCCCCAACCCCAGGCCTTGATTGTCCTGGTGGCAGAGGGTGCATGCGAAGTTTCCCCCACCTCACTAGGGGCGTGCAGTTTCCTCTCCTGCCACGTGTCCCTGGTGGAGTGAGGGATACTGCACACTTCCCAGTCCCCAGAACTTGATTGGCCTGGGGATGGGGGAGTGGTAGGGCAGGAGATCCGGCCCACGGAGGCCCCTGTTCAGTAGGCACAAATTGTGTGAGCTAGGAGGCAGGTGTAGTACCTTAAACTATTCATATTTTAGCTTGTCTTAAAAATACAGACTGGGTTTTAAGCTGATGGCATGCTATCCAATTTGGAAAAAAATTGGAAAGGATAAGATACATCATAATGTGGGCAGCCAAATACACACTAAATTAAGTGAAAGCTTTGTTGTCCAGCCCTTGGGAAATGGGGTTTCTGGTAAATTGAATGTCGGATATTCAAGCTTATTGCTCAGCTTCCACCCATACTGTGGCAACCAACACCTGCCCCTTTGGGAAGGCCAGGTCATTCAGTATATTCAGAATGTTTGTTCTGAGAGCCAAGGGTTAGGTTGTCTCTGATTATGCTAGTTAGGGAAGTACTATGTGCCAGAAAGAAAGAAATAACAAAGCCTGGAGAAATGAGGAAACAGAACACTCCTCTCCAACACACCACTTTCATTCACTTAGTATATTTTTGTTGTGTCTGCCTGTTGCTTAGGAGGACAAGTGGGCCAGCTGGCTGGGAGCCCTTCAGTAGATCTGGCTCCTGGCAGCTTCAGGCAGGCTGAGGGGAAAGAGGCACCTGATGATATCAGGCAGTGCTCACTTTTAGAAGCCCTGCAACGGTTGGAGGTTGCTGGAGGCATCAAGCCATCTGACACAGTGGTGTTGTCGTTGGGGGCAAGGCCAGTTATCCGGCACTGAGGTTGCTGGAGGCATCAAGCCATCTGACACAGCGGTGTTGTCGCTGGGGGCAAGGCAAGTTATCCGGCACCTTGGTTAACCAGAAAAATTGGTTAACAAAGTGCTGGATAACAAAGCTTTCACTGTATTTTCCTTTTACGTGTAAACAGTGGTGTTAGTCGTCACAGACTGAGATCTCAAATGGGAGGTTCCCTTTTAGATTTGGGCTGTGTCGAAAAAAGTTGACAACACCTGTGAAACAGCTGTTTTGTATGTGAAGTATTTGCCCTACTCCGTGTTGTCAGACTGAATTCTTTGGACGTGAACATTTAGGAGTATCTTCGAAACCTGTATCTTAAATCTGTACTCATAGCAGCAAAGTTTCTCTGGTAGTCCTCTGTAACTACTGTACAATTGAGCTTGTGTACATAATTTTAGTTGATACACATTTCTGAGTATTTGAGTACTTGTGGCTTAGGTAGTTATGTATCTGAATCATAATTGTTTCTGAGTATTTGAGTACTTGTGGCTTAGGTAGTTATTATGTATCTGAATCATAATTGTTCTCTTTTTATAGCACTCATTTCAAAAGCAGGAATACAGATCTTCACCTCTAAAGAAAACTCTCTAGAGTTCTCATAAACAATGTAGTATCTGAGTAATGCATTAAAATATTTTTCTTGTCTCTTAGATATTGTCTTTCCAGCATTAGACATTCTTCGATTGTGTATCAAGCATCCCAGCGTGAATGAAAATTTCTGCAGTGAAAAGGATAGCATACAATTCAGCGGTCATCTCTTAAAATTTCTGAGCCCTAATGGAAAGCAAGCAAACCAATTACTGGCACTTAGAACTCTTTGCAATTGTTTTGTCAGCCAGGCAGGCCAGAGGCTCATGATGGAACAGAGGGACACATTAATGTCACATGCAATAGAAGTGAAATTGTGTGGCAATAAGAACATTCACATCGCATTGGCCACATTGACATTGAACTATGCTGTTTGTTTACATAAAGTTAATAATATTGAGGGCAAAGCTCAATGTTTGTCTGTAATCAGCACAGTCATGGAAGTTGTTCAAGACCTTGAAGCCATTTTTAGATTACTTGTGGCTCTTGGGACACTAATCAGTGATGATACAAATGCTGTGCAATTAGCCAAGTCTCTGGGAGTTGATTCTCAAATTAAAAAATATGCCTCTGTATCAGAACCAGCTAAAGTAAGTGAATGCTGTAGGTTTGTCCTTAATCTTCTGTAACTTTTTTAGCATTTGAACACCTAGGATGACATAGAGAAATAATGCTTTCCCTCTCTCCCCCATATTTTACATGATTGAATATAAGTGAAAATATGCTGTGGGTGAATTGCAAACTTGATGAAGATCTAATCTGTCATGAGTGGAACAACCCAATAAACTTTTGCACTGATTGTAAATTATGTTTTACTGTCTGGGATACATAAGATGCTGGTATGAACTATACTGGCTTAAGCACTGAACTCATTAAATCTGTCAAGGTAAACAGGATTAAACCAGGTCAGTACTTGGAAGGAAAAAAAGGGAAATAAAGGAAATTGTTGATGCATATTAGTTTTAGAATCAGCACTGAAAATTGGTATTTCAGCATGATGCTGCAAAACACTGTACCTGTTGAATGTGCTGTTTGCCAGCAGATACAAAACTTAAGATTCTGATCAAATGTGACTGTTATAGGTACTTGTAAAAGTTGATGTTAGACATGTAATTATTCAACTGAATCTCAGGATTCTGGCCACGTTCTATTTAAATTTCCATTTTAATTTTCTTCACTTTCTGCAACTGTGGATGATGGTATTGTCTATTACAGCATGTCAGTGCTAGGATGCTCTTGACGAGGGAAATGTCTTTTGCCCTGGTCCGTACTACGAAGTTATTTTGAAATAACTAGCAGAGCATCCACACTGCCAAGTCCATTATTTCGATATCTGTACTCCTGCTTTCCAGGAGGAATAGTGCTTACTTTGAAATTATTTTGAAATAGCATGAGCGTGAACACTCAGCTGCTGCTATTTTGAAATAATTAGCCTCCAGAGGCCTCTGTCAGCTACACTTGTGGCTACTCTAGCCATATGTGCCATTTCCACTGCTCCCCTTCTCCTGCAGAGTCTTTATAGAAACAGGCTGCAAGCATATGCAGACTTTTGCCAGCCCCATGCAACATTGCGGCAGTACAGGACCATGGCTGACCTCAGTGCTCCTTCTGAGCCCCCCACGGCTCCCAGCACCCTCAGCTGCCCCAGGCAGAGATCCTGGATCTCATTGAGGTCTATGGCGAAGAAACAACCAATCTCCATGATCTCTGCACCAGAAGGCAAAACACCGATGTCTATGGCTGGATGGCTGCCACCCTGGCCAAAAAGGGACACACGCAGACCCTCAATCAGGTCTGCATGAAAATCAAGGCGCTCAGGCAGGCCTACAATAGCTCAGGGAACAGAGCAGACAGTGTGGGGTGACAACGCATCTGTGCCACTATTGGGACCAGTTCGATGCTATCCTGGGAGGGGGGCCAGTCACACACATGCCCTCTTGTCATCAAGACCACCCAGGACATGCCCAGTATCAACCTCCACAAGAGCGGGGTTGTGGAGGAGGAGGAACAGGCCAATCAGTCAACCATGCCTGCAAGCAAGGAACTGCTCCTCAGCCTGGAGATGGTCCCGGTTCTCCCAAAATGTCTTTTGGATGTCTGATGAACTCATGGAAGGCACTTACGGTGAGTTACATAATTTTTCACACACACGGCAGATGGCCAGCTGGGGGGGGGGGGGGTAACACAACAGCCTGGGCTTGTGGGTGTACATGGAATGCCAGTCCAGAGCACTTGGCCCCATGATGCTTTCATACAGGAACTCCTCAGTCCTTCTCATAAGGTTCCTGGACAGACATGCCTTACTCTAGCCTTTGGGGTGGGGCACCTTATGACAAGCCACCGCTAAGGAGGATGGGGTCATGGAAACACACAGCAGTGCTGCACATGCCCGCAATCAGGCAGCATCTACTACTGGTCAAGTGCAGCAATGTGGAGGGGACTGATCCACTGCATGGGAACATGCCAGGGGGAGAAAGAAGAGGGGACCCAGCAGCACTCTCTCAGGCAAGCGCCCTCTGCTGCTCTCTCACACCTCCCCCACCACCCACTCCTCGAGGAGGCAGTGCTAGACCCTGTGTGTGCAGGAGACGGAGCCGCCCTGCCCCTCCTCCCCTTCCTGCCCAGAGGCTCCTGGCTGGCCCCTTCCCATGCCTGCTTGAACCTGGGATGTGGGTGTAGCGATACTCCCTGGGACATCCATGCCCCTGCAAGAAAGTGCCCGTTGTCTAAGCAACAGATGGCCTTGTTTGAAGCACATCTTCATTGTCTGAACCAAGACCTCTGGTTTCAGCTCAGGTTAGAGATAGACTTCATGCACCGGGTCTCCTAGGCTGACTGCCCTTGTTACTTTTATTCACAGCTGAGCCAGCTGCAAGCATGGTGTATCCAGCATCTCTGATGCTATTTTTCCGATTCTGCGGGGTCCACTGGAGGAAGAGAACCCACAAACACTTGCTTTGGGAGCAGGTGACCTGCCTCTAGGCTCTTGTCCAGGGGCTCCACAACGAGCACCAGGAGCAGGCTGCTGACCAGGAGGAGGGCCGGGCTGACCAGGAGCAGTGGACAGCTGCCTGGAACCAGTTGTCAAGCAGCATGAGGCTCGGTGATGGAGTGTGTGGCCTCATCCATAAAGTGGGCCACTAGTCCCTGCCCCCTGCTTCTCTTAGCTGCGTGCTGGAACCCCCAAATATGCGGCAGTGGGACCTTGAGGGCAGCCAGAGCCTCCCAACCACCTGTAGGCACCGCCAATCTCAGCCCTATTCCTAAGCCCCCCTCCCCAACTCTCCGCTCCCAGTTTCTCCCATTTTATATCCCCCAAATAAAACGTTTAACTTTTTGTGGGAAGAGGGGGGGTTACTTACCCTGGAGGGTAGGGGAAGGGAGTGGTGTGGGAGGAAAGGCACACTGGACCTCCTTATGGAGAGGCCTGGGGGAGTCTCACAGGTGGCCTTGGCTGAAACCCCTCTCCCAGCCTCCTAGATGTGCACAGCTCCCTAATATATTCTCCTGATGGCACTGATGTCTGGCTGATCATAAGCCCTGGTCACATGTTCAGCCTCTGCTCTCCATCCTTGCAGGAAAGTCTCCTTGCTCTTGCAAAGGCTGTGTTGCTCACACAACAGGCTGCCACCACAAAGGGGATGTTTCGCTCGTTGAGGTCCAGTGAGGTGAGAAGACTCCTGAACCTCCCTTTCAAGCAGCTGTATGCCCACTCCACCACCATGTGGCACCTACTCAGCCTCAGATTGAAGGTCTACTTGGTGTGGTTCAGGCTGCTTGTGTAGGGCTTCATGAGCCAGGGCAGCAAGGGATAGGCTACATTGCCATGTCCCTGACCTTCACAGTGAGGTCAGGGAAAAAAATGCCAGCATGCATCTTCTGGAACAGGCAGGAGCTCCTGAAGATGCAAGCATTGTGTGACTTTCCCAACCAGCCAACGATGTACACGTACCAGTTCTTGTGGTCCAGAATGGCCTGCAGCCCCATTGAAAAGTACCCCTTCCTGTTTACGTAGTCCAAATCACAGTGGTTGGGGCCCAGGATGGGGATACGAGTGCTATCTACAGCTCTCCCCTGCAGTTGCAGAAGCACATGGTGTTAAAGCTTTTGACAATGTTGTTCATGTTGCCCAGAGGGATGAGGAGGGATGTAAGCAACTAGACAACTATCCAATGAGCATAAGCTTAATGGATAGTCAACAAATGATGTGACTACACACACACACACACACTCTCCCCACCTTGCTGCCTCTATCAGAGAGGTAGCAAGAGAGGGGGGAAGCAGGAGCTGGTGCTGAGGGGAGCCAGCTTAAAAGCAGGTTCTCCCCTGCACTGTCCCCCTTGGGGGCAGGGGAGGTAGAGGCATAGGCTCTGTGGGTGGCAAAAATATGCTAATGAGGAACTCATTTGCATTAGTCAATTTCATTTGCATATTTTGTGCCAATCTGTTTTTGCACTAGGGATTTTTGCACCAAAACAAGCGATGTGGACATTTTCTTTTTGCACAAAACCCCCTTTTCCCACAAGATCCTTATGCTCCCAAACAGAGGTATACCGATCTTGCAGAAAAAGGGTTTTATGAAAAAAGAAAATGTCCACACGGCTTGTTTTGGTGCAAAAACGAAAAAAGAAAATGTCCACATGGCTTGTTTTGGTGCAAAAACAGATCGGCACAAAATAAGCAAATGAGATCGTGACTCATGCAAATGAGTCCCTCAATATATCTTTTGCCACAAAAACTTCTCATGTAGATGTAGCCTGAGTCTCTTAAATCCTAGTCCAATCCCATAACCATCTGGCCTCTCTTCCTCTCCAGATGCTATGCTGGCAAGAGATTTGGGTCTAGCAGTAGTGAGTTGCTAGTTGACTTCATGTGAGTCCTGATAGTGGCTTATCCCCCGATTCTCAGGTGTGTAGGTGCGTAGCTCACATTGATCTTCATAAGAGTTAAATGTCTATATATCTTTGGTATCTGAGTCCTAACAGCTATCTCACTTTCTCTGTATGGTGGCAAATCTTTTTGGATTGTCTGGGAGTCTACCAAAATTAGCCTCCATCACCTATTGAAAAGCAATCCAGGAGATTGAAAAGCAATTGCCTATTGAAAGCAATCCAGGAGATTTTAATAGGCTCAAAGGCTGGTCTGTGGTGCAGAAGGGCTAAGACAGGTGCCCTACCTGCTCTGGAATCAAGACTCCCAGAAACAGCTGGCATGTCTGGCTCTTAGGTGCAGGGATGGCCAAGGGGGTGGGTGTCTCTTCAAATTGCCCCCACACCTCACCCTGAACATTGTGTCTGCAGCTCCCATTGCCCAGGAATTGCAGCCAACCAGAGCTGTGGGGGTGGTGCCTGCAGAGACAGGAAGGGCATAGAGCCACCTGGCTGCCTCTGAGTCTAGGAGCTGGATATGCTGATTGCTTCTGGGAGCTGTCCAGGGTAAGTGCTGCCTGGAGCTTGCATCCCACACCACCTCCCATACCCCGACTCTTTGTTCCTGCCCTGATTCCTCTCCTGGAACCTGCACCCCCTCCATCCCAGTGCAAGTAAATGAGGATGGGAGAGAATGAGCCCAAAAATCCTTGGAGAAGGTTGGGGCAGAGGCATGGTCTTGGGAAAAGGGCAGGGAAAAAGCATTTGGATGCTGGGAATAGTCAGTAGACAACCCTAATAGAAAATAGGAATAATGGTGTCCTCCTGAGATTTTAAAAATGAAAAGGACTTGTGTAGAGCTAAGTGTTGAGATGTTTACCTCTAATCTATGCCAGTCTTTACCACATGCTTGATAAAACATTCAGGCATGCTATTTAAG